GCTGACATCGCGGTAGACGGAATGCGGATTCGACATAAGGTCACGTGATATCTGTGTCTGAGACTGAAGAACGAAAGCGTGTTGTAAGAAAAAGTGTTGTAAAGGAAGTGTATAAGAAGCAGAAAATAAACGGCTATAACTGTTCTGGAAAACGATAATCAATATCCATCCCGTACACCGATCTTTCGAAACCTTCGAAGCTTCGAAGACTTCGACATTCGAACTTCGAAGCTTCGAAGGTTCGAAGTTCGAATGTCGAAGCCTTCGAAGGAAATCACTAGCCCTAGACTACAAAGTGATTGAATTTTTATTAAAAGATCGTTGTCGCTGATTGTTGAAAAATCGTCGATCTGCTTATCAAGCTGCAAAACATACCGATTTAAACTTGTTCTATGAATGTTCTATGAATATCGTATGACAAAGCAACGCTTCGTATCGATTTCTTCCCCAATTTTATTTCTTTAATAGCATTAAACAATGCAATGAGATCTTTTGCTGGACGATCAGTTTTTCGCTTACGATATCTCATTCTAATATTTAGAAAATGTAGAAAAGTTATTTAAAAATCCCAAAAAAATACCAAAAATGAGTCTATATGTGTTTATATGTGACGTTCAGTGCTTCATACGTGAATATATGTGAAAAAATCCATTGTCCAAATTACGCTAACTTTACTTGTTGATAAAAATGGTCGCAAAAATTTTTTCACGCACTTTACACCGAAACGCGATTAATCACATGAAATAGAGTAAAAAACCATATCATAACACACATTACCTGCATCAAATCACGAAAAATCATTATTTCACAGAATAAAATGTATGATGTCAATTTTAATTATTTGTCAAAAGGGTATAGCGGGTTAAGGAGGTGATTTCGGGCCCCGCGCGGAATCGATCGTCATAGTAGGCAAAATGTCCACCCAGATAAAAGAAAATTTTGTGCCAAGTTTTATTTCAAAAGACCCACACAATTTCGAAATATTACAAGAGATGTGATTTTTTTTGATATTTTTTTTCTCCGCCAAATTTGAATTAATTTTTACAAAAAAAATCATGGTTACAAAGGCTATCCGTATACATAAGTTTGAATTTTGTTGTCGTTCTGTGCTGAAAAGTTTTTTTTTGTTTTTAAAAAATCCAGAATATTTTAAATCGCATTTTCTCTAGATCTAAAAAATTGGCCACTTTTAAAAAAATTCAGTAGATAAGTCTTATGCCATATTATAATCAATATTTTTTTCAGATTTTTTTATTTGGTGGAACGTGGCGAAAAAATAAAAATCGGTTTTTTCTTATTTTTCGGCCTTAAATGTATTTGGTTGACATATATTAAATAGTTTCTAAATATAATTACTTATCTCTGACCTTATATCTGCAAACAATAGTATAAAACTTTAATGTTATAGAGTTCGCGTAGTTTAAACTGCGAGGTTTCAATTTTTTTCAGTCGAAAAATCAATTTAACTGATTTTAGCAGTTATTCCATTTTTTTTAAACAAAGATCAATTTCTAACTATATATGCACATAACAAACATAATAAACAATAATTAGGATATAGATCGCGTAAGTGATAAACACAATTCAATTGAGAATGCCTTAATCGGTCGAGGCTGGATCTTGGCACCTAATGATATTTCTATGTAAATCTTAATTCCATATTTCAGTCATTTTAAACTGCGCGCCGAATTAATTTCGTGCTTGTAACGCAATCATAAACCGAAATCGGAATGGTGAGATCTCAATTAAATCGATAGGACCGTTTCAGGTGTAGGGTGATCACTAGCCCTGCTTGGTGTCCCTTGCTGTCGCCGGCGCGGGTCCGTTGATGCGGGCCCGAAGTCGATCGCCACGAGTCTCCACTCGTTCGCCGGTGGTGCTGCTGCTGGTGGCTTCGCTGCGGAGCCGGTGCGTTTCGGCGTTGCTACCCTGCGGGGCCTGGTAGCGACCCTCGTAGAGGCCTCGGCGACGCCGGTACGGGTTACGGAAGTAGGCGGCAGCTTGGTGGCTTTCGTCCTGCTTTTCTCTTCAAAAAGACTTGGCTTGCTCTAATCGGGTCCGGAAAGCGTCTTCGACTCGAGAACCGTGTCTGATCTTTGATCGGTAATCTGGGCCTACTTATACCCTCTCGGACCATTTCTTCCTTACGAGAAACTCGGTCCTCTAGCGGCTTGTCTAGGAAGATGACACTCGCGACTGGCGCGTGATTGCTTCGTGCGCCTAGGCGAGGGCGCAAAGTCCGCCGCGCGAGACCCGGCGTAGGCGCGCGATGTGCCGGGCGGCCGCGGAGGCTTGGTGGCGCGCGCATCGCGCGCGTGATCAGGTGGCGTAGATATGCCGCCACAATTACTATTGTCAGCCGCCGGTTTCATTGTCGGGCGGATCGCGCTATTGCAGTTTCGTTTTCCGCGTAATCGTATGTTCGTGTGTAGAGTCCATGTGCCGCGCCATCCGCCCGGCATAGAGTTACGCGAATCGAGTAGAGTATTTTGCGCTCGCCTTGCCACAGCCGGGTCACTTGTGCGTTAATTAAGTGTTATTCCGTGTTTCTTTTGCGTTATTAAGTGTAAGAATTATTGCGTTGTTACGTCTTGGGTTTGAGAAAAGGACGCAGGGGTGGGGGTTTATTTTGCGATTACGGATCGAGAGTTAAAGATTAATATGTATATATGTATGTAAAAGGAAAGGAAAGACACAATCAGAAAATGCCTAGTCTTTCGAGTGGGCCGAGCGGAACCCTTGTGACTGGTGGTGAATTTAGTTATTCAATTCAGTTTATCATTTTGTGTCTACGGGAAAAAGAAATGGATGAAAAAGAAAAAGATAGATGAACATAACTTGTTAGATTCTCTTTATTAAATAATTGACTACTTGAATTTCTTGTATGCGGGGCAATGCCTTTGGTACCGGATTGCTGGCGCGCGGAGGAGCCTGCCGACCTACCCTTAAGGGGCAAGTCGGTACCCGAACAGGGGCGTAGGCGTCGGCTTGCGGAGGAGAAGGGGGCTTGCGAGGGGGTGACGGGACCCGTGGAGCAGGGGCCTTGCGTGCCTTTTCAGAGGGCGCAAAGGGCCCTGGAGAAGGAGGGTTCTCGGGGGAGTAGGTGTAATACCCCGGGTTATTGTCGAAGCATGAGGGGTCAAATTCCTCTGGTTGGATCAACTCCTTCCGTAGTCGCCGTAAGGCTTGTTTCCGGCCCCCAGCCCTAGATCGTCGTGCCCTTCAATGGTTAAGTTTTATTGAGACGAGTTACGAAATAATATATATATGTATATATGCTTTGATAACTATATACGCGAGAGGTTAAGTATTTACCTTCGGTTGGGTTTCTCCATTGCGAGAAGAAAGCACGCGTGTACGAAAAAGATTAGGTGGGTTGGTGCTCTTTCTTAGCTAAGTATTATGCCGGAAGATAGGTATTTATTATTATGCATGAATGATAGGAGAGAAATATATAAAATAAAAAAAGAAATATATATTTATATATATGTACTGGGAGAGTTGGGTGTTCCTGATGCGTTGACTTAGTTCGTGAGAAGGGGGAGGCACGGAGGGCATACGCCTTTGGCAAGCGCGATTTCGGGAAAGATGGAAGGTGGGAGTAAATTTGGCTGAAAAGACAATGTAACAAAGAGTAAGAAGGAACATACGCCTTTGGCAAGCGCGATTTAGGAAATGTGGAAGGTGGGAGTACACTTGGCTGAAAAGACAATGTAACAAAGAGTAAGAAGGGACATACGCCTTTGGCAAGCGCGATTTAGGGAATATGGAAGGTGGGAGTACACCTGGTCGAAAAGATAATGTAACAAGGACGAGGGAGGACATACGCCTTCGGTAAGCGCGATTTAGGAAGTGTAGAAAATAATTGACAGGAAAAATAAGAGTGCTGCTATTGCAAGGCGTTATAAAGAGAAAGAGAAGATTCTACTAATAAAAACCTTTAATGTAGAGTTGCGCTTATAGCGACGCTCTTGTCCCAGTGTATCGTCGCCGAGGGCAGCGCGATACGAAAATGAGCGAGCTATCGTCAAAATCGGCGCTCTTATATACTAATCAGTTGGTGGCAAAGGGGCGAGGGGAAATAGAAATTTTCGGAAAAATTAGAAAGTGGTGGATTCCCCTTTGATCCGTAGTTCGATTCCCGAATTCGCGTTTTCCGAGAAGTCCCATTATCCGTTCACGCGCGCCGAACGTGAGCGCGCGCGGAGCACGTGAATTACGCTCGGTTGTCTCGCCTTTCGCAATCATAGAGTTTAAATGAAGATTATTCAATATTAACTATCATTGTAATATTAACCGTTATTTTATATAATAGTAAATCTATAACATAATATTAAACTATTACTTTAACATTGGACTATTACTTTATATAACATTAAATGTATAACATAATATCAACGAATATTATAACGTTAAACTATTATTCTATATAATATTAAATGTATAACATAATATCAACGAATATTATATCATTAAACTATTATTCTATATAATATTAAATGTATAACATAATATCAACGAATATTATATCGTTAACCTATTACTTTATGTAATATTAAATGTATAACACAATATCAAACTGATATTATAATTTTAAATTATTACTTTATGTAATATTAAATGTATAACATAATATCAACGAATATTATATCGTTAAACTATTATTCTATATAATATTAAATGTATAACATAATATCCGTATTTGAGCGTATTGTAAAAAGGGGAAAAGAAAGAGAAACGGAAACGTATTCGAAAGAAAGAGAAAAAAAAGGAAATATAAGGTTTTGAGCTTATGCATATGCGTCGGACGCGACAGCGTGTTAGCGTGCCGAATGTCGGCAGTACTTCGAATTATCGCGACGCCACGTGGTGTGTGATCCGTCGTACGCCGTGCGAGGCGTACTCGCGTACAGTGACCGGATATTTCGCGGATTGTAAATAGCGCAAAAACCTAAGCTCGTAAACCCGTCATCTCCGGGAGCGTTCCCGGACGCGCGAATCTCGATATCGGTGATACCGCCGACGGTTGCCGCGGCGTTAGTTGCGGCCAGGAGAAACGCCTGTAAATTCCAGCACACGCAAATATATTTGTTACTTGTTACAGAAAACTCTGTGTATTCGATCTCGCCCTTGCTCTTCCATATTCCTCCGCGCCCTGCGAACCGCCCCTCTGCCGACTTGAGGGCTGAGCACCGGCCATCGGAACCGTTTCCCCGCGTGGCAGTCAGGAGTTAGAGCGTCCGAGTCTTTTCGCGTCGTTGCATAACGAGCGTTCTACGCGTTTCGAGATTTTGATTCCGAGCAGTAATTCGAAGGGTGGCACGCCCACTCGTGCCTGGCGCCCAACTTCGCGTTTTCAGTTGCCGCGTAATTCCGAGCTCTTTAGATCACTGCTATTTGCCCTGACTGTCGCGACGGTTAACGACCGATCTTGTAGTCCGACTGTAGAAAAGAGCGGTCACAATATATTATATATATATATATATATATATATACATTCGTCAACAAAATAAATGCATAGGTAAATTTACATCAAAATTTTGCATAACTTTAAACAATCGTAACTCCGCGAAAAATGGTCGTATGGAGAATTTTTTTTTTTTCATTCTCAAGGGTAAAACCT